GTGAAGCCTGAGGCTTGCACTCACAGATAAACAGCTTGTGTTTTCAGCTTAGTTAAGACTGGGAACATGCTCCGCACCTCCAAGTGAGGCTGCAAAACACCAGTCAAAAAAATGACACAAAAACATCCCTAACATCATGTCACCAGTAGCTTATACCAGTTTCATCTCCCTACCTTAGAATTCTAACTGCCTGTAGAGCAATTAGCATTTAATATTTGGTAGTTGCAGCTGTTTCTTCTCATTTTGAGTCATGCCGCGTCAGCAAGTGAAGGTCCCGAAAGCTTTACTCCATCCACATCATTAAGGTTGACTCTACTTTGAGGAGGCATCTCTTCCACAGTTGTATTTTGAGTGCCTTCCAACCTGAGTAGCTCATCTTCCGACACTATCAGAAAATGTTCCGCTGCTATTCATAAGGTTTTCAGTGGCCACTTTTCTTAAAATAGATCACCAGATCCTTCTTCCTAGTCTGTCTTAGTCTGGAAGCTCCGCTGAAAACTATCCATCGTGGGTAACCCTGCTGGTATTTGAAATACTGGTGGCATAGCTTCCAGCATCACAGAAACACACAAGCAACCACAATATGACAAACTGACAGAAGAAACAGATTCAAACATCCATTAATAATCGGAACGTGGAATGTACGAAGTATGAATCTAGGAAAATTGGAGGTCGTCAAAAAATGAAATAGAATGCATAAAGATCAATAACCTAGGCATTAGTGAGCTAAAATGGACTGGTATTGGCCATTTTGAGTCAGACAATCATATGGTCTACTATGCCGGAAATGACAAATGAAGAGGAATGCCATCGCATTCATCCTCAAAAAGAACATTTCAAGATCTATCCTGAAGTACAGTGCTGTCAATGATAGGATAATATGCATATGCCTACAAGGAAGACCAGTTAATACAACTATTATTCAAATTTACGCACCAACCACTAAGGCCAAAGATGAAGAAACTGAAAGATTTTTTACCAACTGCTGCAGTCCGAAATTGATCAAACATGCAATCAAGATGCTTTGATAATTACTGGTAATTGGAATGCAAAAGTTGGAAATTGTGGCCTTGGTGATAGAAACGATGCCGGAGATCGCATGATAGAATTTTGCAAAACCAACAACTTCTTCATTGCAAATACGTTTTTCAGCAACATAAATGGTAACTATACACGTGAACTTCACCACATGGAATAGACAGGAATCAAATTGACTACATTTGTGGAAAGAGACGATGGAGAAAATATCATCAGTCAGAACAAGGCCAGGGGCCGACTGCGGAACAGACGGTCAGTTGCTGATATGCAAGTTCAAGTTAAAGCTGAAGATTTAAAACAAATCCAGGAGAGCCAAGTACGACCTTGAGTATATCCCACCTGAATCTAGAGACCATCTCAAGAACAGATTTGATGCACTGAACACTAATGACCAAAGACCAGACGAGTTGTGGGATGACATCAAGGACATCATACATGAAGAATGCAGAAGGTCATTAAAAAGACAGGAAAGAAAGAAAAGACCAAAGTGGATGTCAGAAGACACTCTGAAACTTACTCTTGAATGTAGAGTGGCTAAAGTGAAAGGAAGAAATGATGAAAGAAAAGAGAGCTGAACAGAAGATTTCAAAGGGCAGCTTGAGAAGACAAAGTATTATAATGAAATGTGCAAAGACCTAGAGTTAGAAAACCAAAAAGAAAGAACACGCTTGGCATTTCTCAAGCTGAAAGAACTGAAAAAATTCAAGCCTTGAGTTGCAATACTGAAGGATTCTATGGGCAAAATATTGAATGACACAGGAAGCATCAAAAGAAGATGGGAAGAATACACAGTGTCACCGTACCAAAAAGAATTGGCCAACGTTCAGTCGTTTCAGGAGGTAGTATATGATCAACAACTGATGGTACTGAAGGAAGAAGACCAAGCTGCACTGAAGGCATTGGCAAAAAACAAGCCTCCAGGAATTGACAGAATACCAACTGAGCTATTTCAATAAATGGATGCAATGCTGGAAGCCCTCACTTGTCTATGCCAAGAAATTTGGAACACAGCTACCGGACCAACCAATTGGAAGAGATCTATGTGCCCATTCCAAAGAAAGGTGATCCACTAGAACGTGAAAATTATTGAACAGTATCATTTAGCATCACACGCAAGTAAAATTTTGCTGAAGATCATTCAGAAACGGTGCAGCAGTCTATAGACAGCTAACTGCCAGAAATTCAAGCCAAATTCAGAAGGGGACATGAAATGAGGGATATCATTGCTACCATCAGATGGATCTTGCCTGAAAGCAGAGAATACCAGAAAGATGTTTATCTGTGTTTTATTGACTGTGCAAAGGCATTCAACTGTGTGGATCGTAACAAATTATGGGTAACATTGGGAAGAATGGGAATTGTGCTCATGAGGAACCTGTACATAGACCAAGAGGCAGTAGTTCGAACAGAACAAGGGGATACTGAGTGGTTTAAAATCAGAAACGGTGTGTGTCAGGGTTGTATCCTTTCAACATACTTATTCAATCTGAATGCTGAGCATATAATCTGAGAAGCTGGACTATAGAAGAAGAATGTGGCATCAGGATTGGAGGAGGACACAACAACCGGCGATATGCAGATGACATTACCTTGCTTGCTGAAGTGAAGAGGACTTGAAGCACTTACTGATGAGCATAAAGACTACAGGCTTCAGTATGGATTACACTTCAACATAAAACAAAAATCCTCGTAACTGGGCCAATAAAAACGTCGTGATAAACAGAAATTATTGAAGTTATAAAGATTTTCATTTTACTTTGATCCACAATCAATGTCCATGGAAGCAGCAGTCAAGAAATCAAACAACATATTGCATTGGGCAGATCTACTGCAAAAGATCTCTTTAAAGTGTTAAAAAGCAAAGACGTCATTTTAAGGACTAAGGTGCACCGGACCCAAGCCTTGGTGTTTTCATTCGGCTTATATGCATGTGAAAGCTGGACATTGAATAAGGAAGACCGAAAAAGAATTGACACCTTTGAAGAATGATCAAATCTGTCTTGGAAGAAGCACAGCCAGAATGCTCCTTAGAAGCAAGAATGGCGAGACTTCGTCTCACATACTTTGGGCATGTTATCAGGAGGGATCGGTCCCTGGAGAAGGACTTCATGCTTGGTAGAGGGTCAGTGAAAAAAAGGAAGACCCTCAACAAGATGGATTGATACAGTGGCTGCAACAATGGACTGGAGCATAACAACAATCATGAGAATGGCACATACTGGACAGTGTTTCATTCTTTTGTACATAGGGTTGCTATGAGTCAGAACTGACTCGATGGCATCTAATAACAACGCATGTGGAAGCTGGACAATAAGTAAGGAAGACGGAAGAATTGATGCCTTTGAATTATGGTCCTGGCAAAGAATATTGAATATATCATGGACTGCCAGGAGAATGAATAAATCTGTCTTGGAAGAAGTACAGCCAGAATGCTCCTTAGAAGCAAGGATGATGAGACGTCATCTCACATACTTTGGACATGTTATCAAAAGCAACCAGTCCCTGGAGAAGGACATCATGCTTGGTACCAAAAAAAACCAAACCGGTTGCTGTTGAGTCAGTTCCGACTCATAGCGACCCTATGGGACGGAGTAGAACCGCCCCACAGGGTTTCCAAGAATTGGCTGATGGTTTCAACCTACTGACCTTTTGGTTAGCAACTGAGCTCTTAACCACTGCACCACCAGGGCTCCTCATACTTGATAGAGGGTGGTAAAGTAGAGGGTCAGCAAAAAAGAGGAAGACCCTCAAGGAGATGGATTGACACAGTGGCTGCAACAATGAGCTCAAACATAGCAATGATTGTGAGGATGGTGCAGGAACCAGGCTGTGTTTTGTTCTGTTGTACACAGGGTAGCTCTGAGATGGAGGACTCCATGGCACCTAACAACATTCGGTAATTAACATGTTTAATGTGATTCTGAGAAGTTCCTTGACATTTTCATAAAAACAGAAAGCACATTCCCGCCCACCCTTCAAGGAGCAAGGCCCAGTTTGTCATAAAACTGCGTGCCAGTCTTTTTTGGTGCTGAATATGCATGTGTTTGCCTCTTCTGGGTAATTTAGAAACTTTTAGAAAAGAGTTTTTTCTTATTCAGCAGCCATACACTCCTGGCTCAGAGAATCCAAGGGAAAATGGCTAAATCGAGCTTGTCAAGTCGCGGGGCTGCGATGATTCAAGCAGATAAACACCCTCAGTGCACCCCCGACAAACTGCACAACCTGTTCAAATCCAACAAGGAGCCAAATTTGGGGACGCGGCGAGAGATACATTCCATTGCTCCAGTGCAACAACGTAATCCTTCGCCCTACAATGTAGCCGCCCGGTCCCATTTCTCCAGTCCTGAGACTGAAGCCCCGGTCCGCACATCCCAGCGCTGGAAAACTGCGCTGGGCATGCAATGTCAGCTGGAGTTTTCCCTCTGTAGCCCCGCACCGCTTCGTTCCTCTGCAGCCCCGGCCCAGCCCGGCCTCCGAAGCCCTTCACTCGGCCCGGGAATGCGGCCCTCGGTGCTTCCCGGAACCTGGTAAGGGGAAGGGGCCCAGCCTCGAACCCGGAGCGGGTGCGCCGCCCCAGCCAACGCGAGGTTGCAGTGCGGAACCCCAGAACACCGCCACTGCCTGGCCCGGCGGCCCGGCCCAGCCCCACGTGGCCCCCACAGCGGGCCGCACTAGCCTGTTGCAGCCGACGGACAACTTCCCCCAGCCAGTCAACGATGAGCTTTAGAACGGCGACCAATGAGCGCGCTCTGGGAGCCGGCGAGGGGCGCGCCGCCGATTGGCCGTGGGCCGGCTCCCGCGCCGCCATTGGTAGATGTGGGTCCCGCCCCCAGCTACAGACACCGCCCCACCGACAGGGTTAGGTTGCGGCGCGGGCGGCAGGCGGAGCTGGTCCCGTTGTGCTGCGGCTCCGCGCGGCCTGCAGTCCCGGGCCCGCGCCCCGCGCCGCCCGCCCGCCAGCCATGGATCTCTGCTGCGACAGCCCCGCCGCCCCCGGCCCCGCCGCCATCCGCGAGGGCTGGTTCCGCGAGACCTGTCCCCTGTGGCCCGGCCAGGCCTTGTCGCTGCAGGTGGAGCAGCTGCTGCACCATCAGCGCTCGCAGTATCAGGACATCCTTGTCTTCCGCAGGTACCGCCGCCGGCTCCGACCCATACCCCCGCTGCCCTCCCCTCCCCTGCCGGCCCTCCCTCCAAACTCTGCCCCGGCCGGGACCCTCATCTGCCCTGACGCCCACCCCTCTTCCTGCTGTACCCGTCTTGCTTCCGGATCCCCCTGGAGCCGCCTCTGTCCCCCGCCCCTCCCCCTGCAAAACTGTCAGAAGTTCCTGTGAACTAGGCCCGTCGCCTCACTCGGTCCCCTCCCCGTCGTGTATCCATTCTCCCGGGCTGGGGGCCAGCGTTTCGGGCGGGGAGGGGGCCTGAGTCTGCGCCGGCCCCGGAGTGCGGAGCTCCACGTGTCAGTCTTGGAACACGTCAGAGCAGGCGGGGACCCAGAACTCAAACCCAGCCCCCACCCAGCCGGCCTGCCTGATGATCCTCGCCACGTATCACCCCCAGCACTCCGCCCTGGGACCCCTTGGCGGGGTGGAGGAGACCCTTCCCACCTAGAGTATGTCGGGTCACACGCACACACACCCGTTGCCCCGCCCGCAGTAAGTCCTATGGCAACGTGCTGGTGTTGGACGGCGTCATCCAGTGCACCGAGAGGGACGAGTTCTCCTACCAGGAGATGATTGCCAACCTGCCCCTCTGCAGCCACCCCAACCCGCGCAAGGTACTCTGCATCCCACCCCCCCATTGCCTGCTGCCAAGGGGCAGGGTCTGCAGCCCCCGGCAGGTGAGCTCAGCATGAGTCCATGACCAGTGTTCTACAGAACAGTGCTGACTCCAAGGTGTCGCTCCAGGACTCTACTCAGGGTGCTGCCTAGACAGCTGTCAGAGACAGTGCTGCCAAGGACGGGGGAGTGGGGGAGGGGTGGTAGCCCACTTTTTACAGGCAAGGCTGACACGTTCTCCAAGGAGCACACAGTTGAGGCTGAGGCCTGAAGCTTCAGGTACATCCCCAGGAGGAGCTTCCAGGAACAGGGGGTATCTGTGCCATGTTCCTGAGCCAGGGTAGACACTGAAGTACTGGAATCCTTGTTCCAGATGGTTCAGTGTGGGTGCCTGTCATCACCAAGTCCTGCTGGAGCCCAGGGGATGGGGCTGGCACTTGCTCAGCCCCTGTCCCACCTCACTGTCCTCGTTCCCCCAGGTGCTGATCATTGGGGGCGGAGACGGCGGCGTCCTGCGGGAAGTGGTGAAGCACCCCTCAGTGGAGGCCGTGGTCCAGTGCGAGATTGATGAGGTGTGTGCACAGAGCAGGGCGGTGGTCTGGAGACAAATTTCGTCCTACTACCAACCAGCCATGAGCACTGGGAGCTTCTTACAGCTGCTGCCATTCATGCTTCCTCCCATCCCCCTTCCAGTCAATGGCTGCGGCTCCTTGAATGTCAGAGACCGGACTCTGCCCTAATTGCTGTGTACCCTTGGGCAAGTCACTCTAACATTTTCTGGGCCTGTTTCCTCATCTGAAAAACAGATGTTGGGAGGATTCAGTAGGAAAGCCGAGGTAGTAGAGAGGCCAGCACCTGTCAGGTATCCTGTCACTGCTAGTTCCTAGGAGGACTAATTTAGCTCTAAGACCCAGACAGACTGCTAGGGCCATTACAACTACTACGCTTTTGCCTTTGTACTGAGCACATTTTTAGTGAGCATCTACTATGTACCAAGTATTGCTTTAATGGCTGGGAATACAAGGATGAACAATCCAGGCTCAGTCCCTGCCCCCTGGATCTGACATTCTAGTTAGGAGGAAACTTCCAGGTGATCTGATAAAAGCATGATGGGATAAAGGTAAGGGGCTAAAGGATGGGGGATGATCAAGGCAGGCCTCTGAGGAGGCCTGAGTGAGAAAGTTCTCCTTCCTGGCTGGAGGCTTGTGATTACAATGCCCTGAAATAGGAAATAATCAGAAAGCCACTTAGGTGGGGTGGTTTGGTTTGTAGGGAGGGGACAGGAATGGCAGGAAATGAGGTCAGATAGGCAGGCAGGAGCCAGCTTATGATGAGGTGTTGAGGGGAGGTACTGGAGTTCTCCCCATTTTACAGATGTGGAAACTGAGGTTCCCAAAAGAGCATGGCTTACCCAAGGTGACCGGGCCATGAAGGGTACTACCGGGGTCCCACTTGGCTCTGTCTCCTCCCTCCCTCTCAGGATGTCATCCAAGTGTCTAAGAAGTTCCTGCCGGGTATGGCTGTTGGCTACTCTAGCTCAAAGTTGACCCTCCATGTCGGCGACGGTTTTGAGTTCATGAAACAGAACCAGGATGCCTTCGATGTTATCATCACTGACTCCTCAGACCCCATGGGTAAGCGAGGGAGGGGCCCTGGGGTCCTCTGGCAGCTGCTAGCCAGCCTCCTGCTCTGGGGCCCCTACTCAGTTTTGCAGAGGAGAGCTGCACTTTTCTCTTCCTGTACTTTTACCTCTCAAACCTCCTCCCCATCCTCCAGCAGCATGGTTTAGGACAGTGGGAGGGACCTGGAGGAGAGTGGGGCTCTGGCCTTGGTCCACTGAGGCCCCAGTTTCCTCTTCAACCACCTTTGCTCCTGACAGGCCAGAATTGGGTTGAGGGTGGGTACTAGTCCTGAACCAAGGTATAGGTTCTTCCACTGCAGTGTGGGATTAAAATGCAGTGCACTCCATCAGATACAGGGGTGGTGGATCCCTGCACCCCTCAAAGGCCACCATCCTCAGGGTTACTTTCCAAGGCCCATAGACCTGAGTTCAAATCCCAGCTCTGCCACAGAGCCACTGTGGGTCTGTGCAATGGGGTGATGCTGAGTCTGTGCAGGGCGTGGCAGCGGCCTTGGCGCACACAGGGCCAGACTCAGGAGGCCTCGGCTGGAGTGTGTTCAATGACGCTCTGCCTCCTTCTTGCAGGCCCCGCAGAGAGCCTCTTCAAGGAATCCTATTACCAGCTCATGAAGACTGCCCTCAAGGAGGATGGCATTCTCTGCTGCCAGGGTGAGCCCAGCCTCAGGCGGTAGAGTGGGGTGGGCTGGGGTGGGGTGAGACTGGATGCTGGTGGGATGCCCCGCCCCACCCACCCATGCTGACTCCGCCTGCCTCCCCTAGGTGAGTGCCAGTGGCTGCACCTGGACCTCATCAAGGAGATGCGGCAGTTCTGCAAGTCGCTCTTCCCAGTGGTGGCCTACGCTTACTGCACCATCCCCACCTACCCCAGCGGCCAGATAGGCTTTATGCTGTGCAGCAAGAACCCGGTGAGTGGGCGGCAGCCAGGGATCGGGGGTGGCGTGGGCATGGAACACCCTCCCCTGACTCCCCTGTCACCTCTCCCTTCATGCCCACAGAGCACCAACTTCCGGGAGCCGTTGCAGCAGCTGACAGAGACACAGGTGGAGCAGAGGCAGCTGAAATACTACAACTCAGACGTGCACCGGGCAGCCTTTGTGCTGCCCGAGTTTGCCCGCAAGGTGAGCCGCTCTGGGGCACCGAGTGGGGACCCAGGCTCCCAACGGGTGGCCTTGGCCCTGTACAACCCAGCATCTGCCTGACTCCTGTGTCCCTCCAGGCCCTGAATGACATGAGCTGAGCCCGGAGCTGCTGCTGCCGCCGCCGCCGCCGCCGCCGCCACCACCCAAAAACCTCAGACCAGGGAGCCCCAGGGTGATCGGGCCCCCCCAGCCCCACACAAGACCCTCCGTGGGCTCTCACCCACCAACCAAGTGTTAGCGGCCCCAGAATGCTGCCCGACCTGCCCTGCTGGGTGGACTGTCTGTCTTCTTTCCATGTGGCATCCAGCCTCCAAACCTATACCAGCTGTGTACAGCACCTTCTCTGCCTTCTGTTACTCCCACTCACCGAACACGTGTATTTATAACAAAGTTCTGGATTGTGTGTCCCTGACCTTGACTGAGCCTAGGTGGGCGGGGGCTGTGGGTGGAGCAGGGATTTTAGACAGGTGGGCCCCTCCCTGTATAATCTTGGACCAGCCCTTGATCTCCGGCACTGAAGGAATCAGCATTGATCAAACCAGACCCAGATCTGTGCTGGGAAGCTGAGTGTTCTTTTACCAAACCCCAAGCAAGGCCAGGGGTGACACACCCCAAGGGGCCAGGGCTATGGGGTTGACAGATTCTGGGTGGGGCCCGCTGCCCTGCGGTGTTCTCAGAATCCAGGTAGGATTAAGTCAAGTCCCATCCTGGGGTGGGTACTGGCGCTGACCCAGGGTCCTGCGGCTTGGTGGGAAGTGTCACTTTGTAGGTGTTTGAGCACATCAGGAGTTTAACATTGGACACAGAGCTAGGTTCAAACCCTGCCTGCACCCCCTCTGGCAGACTCCTAAAAGCACCTCCTTCCTCTGAGTGTTAAGAGAATTAATGTGGGTGTAGGGGGCTGCCCCAGGAACTCCAAGGGCACAGGACTGTCCCCCGTCGGCCCAGCCCAGTCCTCTCTCCAAGGTACTGACTGCCTGGACTGAGGCTCTGGGGGTGGAGAAGAGCACCCTCCCACAACTGATCGGAAAAAAGTGATCTCAAAAAACCGGGAGGTTACTAGCCCATCCTGAGCCTGGGCATAGGTAGGGCCAGAGGGTGGGTGAGTCCTGGAGGCTTGGGAAAGTGCTGCAATCTCCTGTTCCTACCCTTGGCAGCTGCCTGGAGCCCAGGCACTGAGCAGGGAGTGACTGGCACATCTGGTATCATGTGAGAGGGAGCAAGGACCCTGCCTTGCCATTAAACCTCACGGGGTACTTCAGCTCCTCTGGGCTCCGCATACCTCCACCACTTTGAACTCCAGGAAAAGCACCCCCAGACCTTTGACCCCAGGCAGCATGTCTGACCTCAATCACATTAACAGCCTCCCCACTCTGCCCCTCTAACTCTGAGGAGCTGGCTTCTGTCCCAGGGTCTCCCCACCAGCAGGGCACCTGGCAGAGCCATGGCCCAGACTGAGCTGCAAGGCTGTCAGTCAAAAGGAGAAAAGCAGTAGCTATATGCAGAGTGCTCACTGTTGGCCAGATCCAGCTCCAGGCACCAGCTCATTTACTCTTCACAACCACCTGTGAGGAAGATAGTGTTCATTCTGCACAGAAAAGTTAGGAACTTAGGAACATGCCCAAGGCCACACATGTAGTAAGGAAGTGAACACCCCAGGCAGCTGACCTTCCAGGTGCCGCTCCTCTCTGCTCCTCTCCTTACCCTAGCCCTGCAGTGCCACCTCTGTGGTCAGCCCGAGCACCCTGGGATTCCCAGCAGGCTCATCTGCTCGGACCTCCACTCTCAGCCTGTCCCGCAAGGCTCGCCTTTCTGACGAAGCTCCAGGAAGGCCTATCCCAGGGGACCCAGAGAGTGCTGCTGGGAGAAGGTGGGGACAAGGAACGGGTTGGTTACCCAGAAAGACAAGTCTGAATCCCAACTCTGCCTCCCATTAGCTCTGTGACCTTGAGCCACTCACAACTTCTCTATCACCATCTGTAAGATGAGAGCAATGATTCGAACCTGTGAAAGTTTCAGTAAGAAGCCTATGTAAGGTGGTGCTCACTGAGCTATGGTGTTTTGCATTGGAAAATCAGAATTTGGGATTTGCTCCTGTGAGGGCAGAAGAAGGGGAGAGGATGACCCAGACACACGAAGTCTAGGGCCCAAGTCACGGAAGGGCAAGCGCTGAACCACACGACTGGGTGCACGTAACTCAAAGACAGACCAACCTGACAAAGCAAAGCAGGGAGTTTGATGAGGACGTGGCCTGAGTCCCCAGAAGTCCCAGAAATCTTGGAGAGGGCCGTGAGCAGAGCCAATCTGTGGAATGGCAAAGAAAACCAATTCTATCTAGATTATTATATTTTTAGTTATTATTATTTTTTGTTATTGGTTGCCATCAAGTTGATTCTGATTCATGGAGACCCCGTGGGTGCAGAGTAGAGCTGTGCTCCATAGGGTTTTCAAGGCTATGACCTTTCGAAGGCAGATCCTCAGGCCTGTCCCCCGAGGCGCGTGTGAGTTGGTTCAAACCACCTACCTTTCAGCACTTAACTGTTTGTGCCACTAGGACACCTAGTTACTATTTATCAAAATTAATTAAGGATTCAAATATTTCCATGTGGTTTGTTAGAAAAAAAGATAGTCCTCCTATCTCCACTTTTCCTTTCCCCAGAGGCAGCTACTTTTACCTCCTTTAGTTGGTTATTCTGATATTTACCTTCATGTTTCTAAATAACATGCTTGTATTACTACATCTTGACTTGTCAGTTTTAGACATCATGTTGACTTTCCACTAGGGAAGATGAGGATTTAGCTCTTTCCTTCCCTGTCCCAACCACACTCTCAACATTTGAACAATACTCTTGGTTAGCTCAATATTCAGTGTTTACAGTATGTTGTTAGCTGCTATTGAGTCAACTCTGACTCACGGCGACCCCCTGCATAACAGAAAGGAATGCTGCCTAGTCCTGCTCCATCTTCATGATTGTTGGTATGTTTGAGTCCATTGTTGTGGCCAACACCACCACCTGTCTGTCAGTATGTTGCTATGATGCTGGAAGCTGAGCCACTGGGTTGTTTTTTTTTTTTTTTTTCTTTCTTTCTCTCTTTCTACCATGATGGATAGGTTTCAGCAGAGCTTGCAGACCAAGATAGACTAGGAAGAAAGAGCTGGTGATTTATTTCCAAAAATTAGCCAATGAAAACTCTGGATCACAGAATATTATCTAAGACTGACTCACTTACTTTGGAAGTATCAGGAGGGACCAGTTGCTGGAGAAGTACATCATGTTTGATAAAGTGGAGGGCCAGCAAAAGTGAGGGAAACCTTCAATGAGATGAATTAACACAATGGCAACACAATGGTTTACATTATTGTTGTTGTTAGGTGCCATTGAGTTGGTTCTGGCATAGTTACCCTATGTACAACAGAGCAAAAGACTGCCCGGTCCTGTGCCATCCTCACAATTGTTGGTATGTTTGAGCCCATTGTTGCAGCCACTGTGTCAATCCATTTTGTTAAGGGTCTTCCTCTTTTTCTCTGACCCTCTACTTTATCAAGCAAGATGTCCTTCTCCAGGGACTGATCTCTCCTGATAACATGTCGTAAGTATGTGAGACGAAGTCTTGCCATCCTTGCTTCTAAGGAACATTCTGGCTTTTCTTCTAAGACAGATTTGCTTGTTCTTCTGGCAGTCTATGGTATATTCAATATTCTTCCCCAACATCATAATCCAAAGACATCAATTCTTCTTCGGTCTTCCTTATTCACTGTCCAGCTTCACATATGTATGAGACAATTGAAAACATCACGGCTTGGGTCAGGCACACCTTAGTCCTTACAGTGACTTCTTTGCTTTTTAACACTGTAAAGAGGTCTTTTGCAGCAGATTTGCCTAATGCAATGCATCTTTTGTTTTCTTGACTGCTGCTTCCATGGGTGTTGACTGTGGATCCAAGTAAAATGAAATCTTTGACAACTTCAATCTTTTCTCCGTTTATCATCATGTTGCTTATTGGTCCAGTTGTGAGGATTTTTGTTTTCTTTATGTTGAGGTGTAATCCATACTGACGGCTGTACTCTTTGATCTTCATCAGTTAGTGCTTCAAGTCCTCTTCAATTTCAGTAAGCAAAGTTGTGTCATCTGCATAACACAGGTTGTTAAGGAGTCTTCCTCCAAGCCTGAAGCCTCATTCTTCTTCATATAGTCCACCTTCTCATATTATTTGCTCAGCATACAGACTGAATAAGTATAGTGAAAGAATACAACGCTGACACACACCTTTCCTGCTTTTAAACCACACAATATCCCCTTGTTCTTTTCAAACAACTACCTCTTGTTCTACGCACAGGTTCTTCATGAGCACAATTAAGTGTTCAGGAATTCCCATTCTTCCCAATGTTTCCCATAATTTGTTATGATCACACAGTCAATAAAACACAGGTAAACATCCTTCTGGTATTCTTTGCTTTCGGCCAGTATCTGTCTGACATCAGCAATGATATCCCTCATTCCACATCCTCTTCTGAATCCAGCTTGAATCTCTAGCAGTTCCTTGTCAATGTGCTGCTGCAACCGCTTTTGAATAATCTTCAGCAAAATTTTACTTGTGTTTGATATTAATGATATTTTTCCATAATTTCCTCATTCTGTTGGATCACCTTTCTTTGGAATGGGCACAAATATGGATCTCTTCCAGTAGGTTAGCCAGGTAGCTGTCTTCCAAATTTCTTGGCATAGACAAGCGAGCACTTCCAGTGCTGCATCCATTTGTTGAAACATCTCAATTGGTATTCCATCAGTTCCTGGAGCCTTGTTGATCACCAGTGCTTTCAGTGCAGATTGGACGTCTTCCTTCACTACCATCAGTTCTTGATCATATGCTACCCCCTGAAATGAGTGAACATCAACTAGTTCTTTTTAGTACAGTGACTGTGTATTCTTTCCATCTTCTTTTGCTGTTTCTTGTGTCATCTAGTTTTTTCCCTGTAGAATCCTTCATTATTGCAACTCGAGGCTTGAATTTTTTCTTCAGTTCTTTCAGCTTGAGAAATGTCGAGCGTGTTCTTCCCTTTTGGTTTTCTAACTCTAGGTCTTTGCACATTTCATTATAATACTTTGTCTTCTCAAGATGCCCTTTGAAATCTTCTGTTCAGCTCTTTTACTTCATCATTTCTTCCTTTCTCTTTAGCTACTCTACATTCAAGAGCAAATTGAAGAGGAATGGCATTGCATTCATCTTCAAAAAAACATTTCAAGATCTATCCTGAAGTATATATAACATTGTCAGTGATAGGATAATATCCATATGCCTGCAAGGAAGACCAATTAATATGACTATTATTCAAATTTATGCACCAACCACTAAGGCCAAAGATGAG